AGATCAAACAGTCAGATGTGTTGCATAAAGAGGTTAAGGAGATGTTTTTGTGCAGTGGATCAAGTCCCAGCTACCTGAATTTTATCACGTAAATACCAGTTTTCACATGTGGGTGTTGTGTAACATTCCGATCACAGCATTGCTCTCCATGGAAGGGAAATTCATGCTGTGTTACATGGCAACTTCTTAACCCCCCATGTGGGGGTTAAGCATGGGTTATTTAGCAGATATTTAAGATGTTCGAATTTGTTGAATTTTAGAGATTGAATACAAATACCTAGAACTACCACATTATATGTTCTACTCAGATGTCTTAATATCCTTTATTACAAAAGACATCTGCTGTCCATTTTTTTACTGTTTGGTTTCTTCTGTTCTACATAACTGGATAATGGCATCAGTAGAGCTGGGGCCTCTAGTGTAAGAAGGAAAGAGGAGACCTAAGTAGGTTTCCTGCAACAAGGAACTCTGTGTCCTTATCTCACAGTGGGAAAAGATGGTTGAGAGACCTGATACTGGTATGGATATTGTAGTTCTCTTGCAGAGCCAGAGAACTACGAATGGCTTCTCACAGAACCTGTTCATTTGTGTAGCAGAGATGTGGAACCCTTTGTGACTTGGCTGGAACAGCAGATAATGGTGGAAGGGGAGTATACATTTCTTGTGGAAGACATGTGGTTAGATGATCACAGCCATTTGTTTTTCCAGGATACATGATACCTATAGAAAATTTTGAACTCTACAAATACACATTTTCACTAGTAGTCCTCATTAATTCATTCCATGTTACTGAGCTGATGTAAAAGTTTACAAGTATTTAATAAGAAGACTGGGTAATGTAGTCTTTGCCAAATTTCTATTCCTGTCTTCTCTACACATAAAAGGCATTTAAATTTATTGTGAGACTCTAAAATAACAAATGGTAGCTGTAACTCATTCTAGATGCAATACTCAGTTCTGTTATGCCGCTGTAAAGAACTGTGCACTGTGGAAGAAAGTTTCTTTAACCTTTTAAAAATCCCTAACACTCAAACACAGAAATATTAAAGCATATTGTTTTGTTGTACATATTGAAGCAGAGTTCATGCTGAACTGATCAGATTGATGGTAAAGACAAAATTTTGTCATACAACATTACAGTTTAAGTGAACTTTAAAAATTAGCATAATAAAATAATAAAAGGTTTAAATCTAATTGTACTTTATTGATTTAGATTGCATATTCATTTAATTTGAAGGTAGAATAGGTGTTGTAAAGTTTATACAGTTTCTAAGGGGAAACTTAATACTTGCCATGGTGGGAATCTGAGAAGAGCGGATTGATTGTGTGAAAGAGGTCCATTTTCTGCTTCTCTCCTCATTTAAGTGTTTGACATTAGGAACAAACTTGAAATGAAGACTGTTGAAAATTAAACATTCTGGGAATCAGGCAACAGTTTCTAGTGACTTTCAAATAGTAGGATTTCAATTAACACGATATTTCAGAGCTGCTGGTACTTTCCAAACTCCAGATTACTTTCCTGTGAGAGATGCAACAAGTGGAAGAATAACAGCCTGTTATCTTCAAAGCAAAACTGGTATTGAATGTATTTTCACATGGAGGTCTCTCTTTCACTAACTTAAGAATCACTTTCCTGGTCTAGTCCAAAAGTCAATTTTCAATCACTTTTCAATTAGGAAGTCCTAAAAGAAAGTACGTTCCTTCCAATTCACTGCAACCCAGGAGTAGATGACGACTTAGGTTAGTAATCTGTCCACATGTTTTTGAAGAAGAGCTAAACCATCATGGGGAGCTGCAAGGTGGTATGCCTTGAAAATTACCCCAATTAAGAGAGACAACTTGTGCAAAAAAATCAGCTCCTCCTGTATAAAGTGTGGAGGTGTCTCAGAAAGAACTTCTGCCCACCTTTAATCTGGTGGGGGTTTTACTCTGCTCTTCCTATTAACTATAAAGGTACTAGTAAAAACAATGTCAAATGACATAATACTGAGTGGAAATAATTGTGGAAGGGCATGGCATTTATACTTCTCAAAGCTGATCCATGCTTTTCCAATTTAAGAAAAAAAACAAGCAACCCCCACTCAGCCATATTCAGATTGAATTTTGTTCCAAATTGAACTTATATTACAAGAAAAAGTATGATTTTGATCAACCTTATTACAGTCCTTGGGTACCCAAATCTTTACATATTGATCAGACCTTTTCACAGAGCAAGGGTCAGAGAACTTCTTGATTCATAGTCTAGATTACTTTTCTTTACAGGAGGGATTAATTAAATTGCATAATCCAATGTCCTTCTTTTGACATATGTTAAGTAGTGTAGTGAACACTGTATCACGTCAAGTTCCAGAAAACCTGCAGAATACTACTTTGATACTAAAAGCTACTGAAGCGGGGAAGAAACTGATTTTCCTATTACAATTTTTTTTGCCTTATTTAAGGTTGGACATTTTGTGGCTTCAGCTACTTAGGACTGGAACACAAGTGTAATGCTGTTCAGAACATTACTCTTAGGATAACTTCTCTCTTGGTCTGTTATTTCGTAAGAACTAGGCTTTTATCCTAGAACTCTGGTATCTGTCTATTCTGTTTTTATGCTCTATTATTTTATATGCACAAATTAAAAAATAGTAGCTCTTTTGAACCAGAAGCTCTCTGGTAGAGAGCTTTTTGAGGTAGTGGAGTAGTTACCTTTGATATTTATTAAATTGTTTTCCTTCCTTGCCCTTGAAAACTTCTTGTGGTTGTTCAAGCAAACTAATCTTCCAGACAGATTTTGTCACTCTAAATAGTAACAGATATGTCTGTCTGTGTCAGATTCTATAAACTTTTGGTGATTCTATAAACTTTGTGCTTTGGAGAACTTTTGAAGTTGTTGGCAGATGAAAGGTAATTTAATAGAGTATAATCTGCATTAGAAGTATAGATTCAATATTACTGAACTTTGTTCGGTTGCTTAGTTTTATAAGATTCTTGTGTTGTATAGATGACTTGCTGCTTGCATTTTGGTTTCTCACTTGTTTAAAATGACCTTAATTAGAAATGAAACGCACTATTGTCTACTTAGATTTCTTCAAGGGTTTTGATATTGGTTTCTCACAGCCTCCTCCCAGAAAAACTGGTGTGTTACAGTCTAACAAAGTGGTCCATGCAGTGGGTGGGGAACTGGTTGACAGGCAGGACCCAGAGGGTGATGGTACAACTCTCATTTATCATGCTGGCAACCTGTCAAAAGTGATGCCCCCAGGGATCAGTACTGGGCCCAGCACTGTTTGATATCATCATAGGTGATCTGTATGGTGGGATCAAGTGTACCCTCATAAAGTTTGCTGAAGATACCAAACTGAGTGGGGAAGTAGACACTTTGTAAAGGGGACTCGCCTTGCAGGAAGACCTGGACAGGCTGGAAGAGTGGGCCAACAAGATCCTTATGAACTTCCAAAAGGGCAAGTTGTTGTCCTTGCAACCTGGGAAATCCTAACCCAGGAGTGCAGCATAGTCTGGATTCTATGTGACTGGGGAGCAGCTCTGGGGAAAGGGACCTGGGCATCCAGGAGGAAAACAAACTCAGTGTGAGTGATCAGTTGCTACCCAGCAAAGAAAGGCAACAGACTGCAGGGTTGCATCAATGAGGGCATTACCACCAGAGATGAAGAAGTTATTATCCCAGTCTTTTCAGCACTGGTCAGGCTACAGCTGGAATACTGTATGGAGAGGCTAGATAGAGAAGGTCCAGAGAAGGGCCGCAAAGCTGACCAAAGGACCAGGAATCCTGCTGTCTGACAAAAGGCTGAGAGGAGTGGGTTTGTTCAGTCTTGAAAAGAGTAGGCTTAAGGGAGACATTATCACCATGTTCCAGTATTTAAAGAATCGTTACACAGAAGGTGTAGGCTCCCTACACTAGGGAGTTATATGGAAAGGGAATTAATGATACAAGTTACTCCTGGCGAGATTTTGGTTAGACAGAAGAGGAAAATTTTTCACAATGTAGTAAGTCAGTCAGCCATTGGAACAGTCTCCCCAGGGAAGTGGTGGGTTCCTCAGTGCTGGACAATTCAAAGATTCAGCTGGAGAGGGTGCTGGGCCATCTTGTCTAGACTGTGATTTTGCCAAGAAAGGTTGGAACAGATGGTCTTTGAGGTCCCCTTCCAACCTGGTATTCTGTGATTAGCTCAGAGAATTAGGCTGCTTGGCTTGGTTCACCTGCTGTGGCATGATTTTGCCAAAAGATGATTTGTACTCAAAGGGCTGAACCCTGATGTTAGTGGCATAATGCAAGTTAAGGTCAAATTTTACTTGTTAATTCAGTGATGTGGAATTGAGTTCTGTGTTTCCATGTGTACCTTACGGATTTAGCAATTATGCACGAAGATTAATTGTAGTTCTTGGAAATGAATAAGCTGACCCAAACTGATTTAGAAAGTAAGCAAAATAGTTGTGAATTTTGCCCACTCAAAACCAGAAAATCATGTTTACAGTATCAGCTTAGGGTTTGTTTAGTCATTTTTTGGTTTGGTTTGGTTTTGTTTGTTTTTTTTTTTTTTTTTTTAATTGGTAATGTTCTGCTGTTAGAGTGTAGAATTGAACCATTACCATTACAAATAGATGTAGAGGGTTTTTTCCTCCGATGCCATCATTTTCAGTATCAGAGTTCCAGAATGCTTGCAGCAGCCTTGTGTTTTTCTGTCTGTTCGTGACAAACCAGCTACTGTACATTCATATAGAGCAGTACAGTCCTTGCCACTGGCAGTCTCTCTGTGACAGAGAGCCTGTAGGCTGACATAAAGTGCAGCCTGTTGTGAACTGCTAAGTGGGAGTCTGCCAAAAACTCAGCAGACAGAACTAATTGGGGAGAAAAAGGATTTTTGTGCCCTCATCTCTCCCTCTTCAATTTTTTTTACAAGACGGATATTGTTAAAGTAACTTGTTTATGTAAGATTTGTCTGCCTCTATTTTCTCATTGCATGAATCATTTTTTAACTTCAAGTCTTGCACCGCAGGTCACTGAGCACTTCCACATGGCGGCTGGCGCAGGACCAAACTCGAGACACGCAACTCATCACAGTTGATGAAAAATTGGTAAGGGTTTTCTACTGAATACCGCTATGATACAGCCTTCAGGGTTATTTCTGCACAATAGGCATTCAGTATGGTATTCTGCGTTCTTCTAGGAAAGCCATATAAATGTGAACTACAAAGCAACAGTCCCTCATACATTTTTAAAAGGGTAACATCAGTAAAACATAAGTATGTGATCAAAATATGGCATTCAAAGTGTTAAGCAATATGAAATGATGAGTACCTGACTTATGATTTTTATATTTTGGTCAAGGACCAGTATGAGCTGTAATTAATAACAAGTTTATTCTTTTTGAACTGTGCATGTACTTTCTGTGTAGTGAAATTACACAGAATTTGCCAGCTTCCTAAAATTTTCTTCGTTAGGACCCATATTACTGAAGATACTGTGTAAGGAAACATCATGGAAGGTTATTGTTACTATGCAATATACACTCTAGCTTTTGAATATGCATGAAGGTTAGATTACAGCTAGAAACAAATGCATAACATTCTTCTGCTAATCAGTAGCAGATCAGAAATTTGGCAATCTTTTCTTGTAAGTTCTTCCATAATGTGTGGTCTGTTACTCTAGATGCAACCTGACACTTATGTTTACATTATTCAATAGTATAATTTTTGTAAGACTTCTGGGGGGAATGCATCACAGCAGAAGCATGCTTTTCACTTTTGAATCTTCAGGAAAAAAATATTCCTGTTGTATGTTCCAGGCAGTTCACATTGTACGTACTTTTTTGTATCCCTGAAGCTATGTTAACTACTGAAAAAATATTTGGAATTTGTATTATAAATTGTATATTTGCAATAATAACTAGAAGTTGAGACAGCTGAAGTTAACAGGCTACTGGAAAACAACCCCACATCTACTTTAACAGTTCTTTAGGGCTTTTTTCTTGTATGTTTTGTATATAGATATAACAATAATAATCTACATAAAAATTATTTCATAAGCTTTCTGAATTTAAGAGTAATATTATAATTTTAGGTTCAGAAATTAGGGACAAAATTAGTACTTTATTCTAGCAAACATGATTATCTTGCTAATCTAGTTGCAAAACTTGAAATTCAGGAAATTTGTACAGAGTTCATGAGTCACTGTGTAAATAAGATTCAACAGACTTGAATTTTCCTAAATGAATTTTAGATGCAGTGTTCTTTAACAGTAAAAAAAAAAAAATATATCTAAATAGAGGTTTTATAATGCCCGAATTTGCAGTATCACATTTCCCTACTGTGGCCTCAGGTGATGACAAAAGCACGAAGACGGACACACGAAATAAATACTCTTCTATCTTCCATTTTGTGTTTAAATGTACATTATCCAAAGATAGGGTTGTACTCTGTACAGTTATGAGAGCGTATGCTTCCAGTTGAGTTAGAACGAAACTAATTTGAATTACAACTATTCACTTGCCGTAGTGTCATTGTAAATGAATGTAAGTGAAGTGCTTATTTCTAATGTCATTGTATGTTGTCATCAAGTTGAAGACTGTCTTATTATAGTTGTTGTGATTTTTTTCAATCTCATAGTTGCAGCCTTTGAATATTTTTATTTCTAAATATATAATTTATATAAACTGTTACTTTGTCGTTAGTTGTTTTGAGTACAAGGTTAAATGTCAGACTGAATAGTATTTTCCTACAATGTTGTGCATGTAGGTCCACATTCTAAGTGCACAAACCTTTTTTTTCTTGATTATTGTAGGACCTGAAACAAAACGACAGAAAATTAGACTTATTTGTAGATTTAGTTAAATTTTTGGAGTAGTTTCCATAGTGTCATAAAGTAACCAATAATTCATGTTCTGTTAACTGGCAAAAATTATATCCTGTTAGCAAGGAAAATATTCCAGAATAAAGAAGAGTTTGATGTGGTTTTCCACTCTTTCAGGATTAGGAGAAGTTCTTTAGACATTTGTAAAACTTTATGGAAAAGTAGTGTACGATCTAAACTTATTGTAGGTTGCTGCAGTATATTTTCTAATTTTAGGTAGGATTAATTGCAATCCGTTAAAGCTAATTTAAGGACTCCGTAAATTTTCTTTAATTAAAGTTGCAAAGCGTAACAAAACCATTATTTCCTTACATATTGTAATTAAACTGTATTCTGGAAGTTGATACTTAGGGTTTAATTTCAGAAGACCCCTTTGTTCATGTTACTGATTGTTAGAAATCCTTAAATCATATTTTGATGGATTTGTCATCTTGGTCGTACATATGTATATGCTTATTTTTTTAAAGCTGGACATCACCTTATAGGTGCTTTTACATGCACATCAAAAGACAGAGCAAGAACAGGTGTGTGGTGGTTCTAATCTAGGCCTTCCCTGGTTACCAGTTTGTAACCAAGGAAGGGGCAGTGTTCCCAGTATTCCATACAATTTTTACGTAAATCGTGGTACAAATAAGAGGGGAGGAGCGGCCTTCGTTCTTCTTCTCTTCCACTGAAGTTCGGGAACAGTGGGTCCCTGCATTGGTCTCGCTTATCTAAGGCTGAGGCCTGCAGCGTCCACTGACCTGCCACGTGGAAGCTTGGAGAGTGCTGGCCGTGTCTGCCAATCCTGCTTTCTAAGGGTCGTGGTGAGATTTGTTTTACTAGTTATTTTCCTAGTTCTCAGGTTTGATTGCGCATATCTATTCGGTGTCCCTTTTTGTTTCCTTTTGTCCCTTTTCCCCCTTTCCCTATCCCTTCGGGGGGTGTTTGGATTCCTTGTGCTGTGTACATAGCATCTTAACTATAATATACATAAAATATATTTTTTTATATAACTAGCTTGATTTTCGGGTTCTTCAATTTGCATAGTTTTTTTCCTTTGCCCTGGGGGAGGTAGAAAGGGGGGGAAGAGAGGGGCTGCTACTGGGGGGTTGGGCATTTGGCAGGGAGCCAAGTCTGAACCATCACAAGGTGGAAAGCAGGATATGGTTGTCCTTGTTTGCCTTGCTCTTCTTGTAACTTACTTTGAAACTGAACTCTTCTGTGGCTTGATGCTTACAAGGCTGATAGAATAACGTTGGGGTTGTTGAAAACTTTTAACTGCATATTGTAGTGGAATTTCCAGTGCTTTTGTAGACCTTGTGTTTGTATGTGTACATGCATGTGCTAGACCTTGTTCAACAGGAATTCCTTTGAGTTACTTAGAGTCTGATTGGGTTTTCTTTGTGTTGGCAAAAGCAAATAGAAAGTGGATGAGCATCCTGACACTGAATAATTAAGCGGTATTTGGTCACCTGCCTACTGCAGCCTAGAGTGTGTTGAAAACAACAGAAAAATGAGTTGTAATGAAATAGCAGAAAAAACAGTAGTTTAGAGCACATTCATTTCACACTGGAAAAAAATGGAAACTCTTGAATGGGAAAGGAGTTAAGTGCTCAGCTTGCATAGAACACATCCAAGGAATTGTATCTTTGTCTCAGTTATCAGCTGTTTTGAGTGAATACTGAATAAAACAACTTTTAATGAACAGTAAAATATGAAGAAAATAACATACAAAATAAACAAAGCTCAGCGAAAATGCAATTCTTGCATGACATTTTGAATCTCTGGCCACCAATTAGGTTGTGTTCCAAGAGTCTGGACAAATAGCTGTGTGAAAAGTGGACTTTCAAGACCCTGCTTGCATTAGGAAATTTGGGCTATAGAGGGCAAAGGCTGTCAGCAGCAGATCTCACTCAGGTAGTGTTCCAAATTATTTAACTGTTCATGTGTATGTTATGACATAGCTTCCATTATTATTAAAAAGTTGAAGTGATTTTGACTGAAGTGGAAGTTTGAACTGTCCTAATTCCTGCAGTTTGTTTCAGTTATTGAGAGTAGGGTGCATCACTAGTGTTTGTTGAAGTCTTCCAGTTAAGCATGAGTGCGTTAAGCAGACTTCCCAGCCAGTGCTGGTAATGCTGCATGTTGGATGTCTAGCTGGAGTTGGGCACTTTGGTGCCTGTTGCAGTCTGCAGTTGAAAGGTATCCACAAATATTTGTCAATAAAAGGACCTTTGTGTTGGTTAAATGATAACAATATTTAAAGAGTGTTTGAAAATTAGAACTACTGCCAGAAATTATCCTTTACATTGCTAAAGCAGAATATTCCACTGACAATATATATGCTGTAGCTCAAAGCAAAAATTATTGCAAGAGCAGTTATAGGAATTGGTCACTGGGGAGACACTAGAAGAGTTGTGGAACTGTGATTAAGGATCCGTTGTAGTCATCTCACAGATGTTTTTATTCTGTGACAGGCCAAGATAAAGTAGGAGTTGCTACACAGATTTAAGCATTCCAGACCAGTGCTATCAAGTGCAGTTGAAATGGTGCTGAATTAGTTTTTGCAGCTTTGTGTGAACATCTAGGGACAGACTTTATTACGAGTATGACAGGCTAAGTGGAATGATGTTATTGACATTTCGCCACCTGTCCTGAAGTTGTTTTGTTTGGTCTATAGTGTTAACTATCTTTTTTTCAGTAATGGTTCAGCAGTCTCACTACTGAACCTTAGCAGAGGGCTATTTTCCTTTAGATCATAGACAAACTTTACATAACTCCCTGAAGATGACTTGTATACACCAGACTGGGCACAGAAGATCTGAACCTTCATTTGAGGATGAGCAGTTTGTACTTTTCAAAGATGTCCAAGATGAGCAGTAAATGCCTTATACTGCAGCAGTCTAGGTCAAAGCATGTAAGTAAATACACATAGCGAATGAAGGAAGGGCCCTGATATTGTCTACCTGGACTTAAGTAAACGCTTTCTCACAGCTTTCTCCTGGAAAAACTGCCTGCTCATGGCCTGAATGGGTATACTTTTCACTCCTTGAAAGAGTGTGTGATTTGAAGACCAAGTCCAAAGAGTAGTGTGAATGGAGTTAAATCCAACTGGCAGACAATCATAAGTGGTGTTCCCCAGGGCTCAGTATCAGACCCCTGTTTAATATCCTAATTGATGATCTGGGCAAGGGAATCAAGTGCACCCTCAGTCAGTTTGGAGACACCACCGATTTGAGCAGGA